CTGAGTTGCCGCCATGTGATTGGCTGATTAGAAATTAAGTGTTAACGAGCAGTTGGACAGGTGTACCTAATAAAGTGGCCGGTGAGTGTAGATTAGTTTTACATCCAAAAGTGGTTTGCACCTGGTTCATTTGTTTTATTTCTCCATTCATTCAAACTGATTTGATTCACTCTTTTCCTTCAACAGAAGCTCCTACACCCAATGGCCCAGAGTCCCAGCAAGGTGTTGAGGAGGACAAAGAGGCTGATAAGGAGGAAGAGGGAAGTGAAGATGAGTGGGAACAAGTTGGTCCCCGAAACAAGACTTCTGTCACTCGTCAAGCCGACTTTATCCGCACACCTATCACTGACATTTTTGGTGGACACATCAGGTAAATTGATGAATTGAAATACCCCTTAAAATCTCAATATTGGTAATCTATTCAATCTTGGTTAGGTTGTTCTGATTTTGTCAATATTGCTTTGCCACCTTTTGGCTTTTTTCTTTTTCAAGTCCTCCACAGCCATCTGTGGTAAATCTGGACAGCAAGTCACAGGGCACCATTACACAAATAAAGGTTTAAACTTTCAGACAAACGAGAACATTAAGAATTTGTTGCTTTTTCTTGTTGAAATGTTCTCTGAGGTTCTGGTCTGGCACTGTCCTGGGTACGTTTATTGTACATCTAAAAGGATTATTTTCTCAGGAATGGTTCTGTGCCTTTGGAGTAAAGAAACACAGAAAAGTGTGTGTTTCTGTGTGCGTGCGCGCCTACAAGGTAGTATGGATGCCAGCTAAGCATACCTAAAATCCATATGGTTTTAAAGGCTTTTATTTGACAGACTGGCTTGTCTTGGGTTTCTGCAGCTATTGTTTTCAAATGTAAAGTGGATTATCTGCCATGATTATCTTTTTTGTTTTTTGATGATTGGTTATTTTAGTTTTCTTTTTAAATTTAAGATAAAATTTGCAATCAGAAGAAGCTTAGAGGAATGGTAAAGGTTGGCAATAAAATGCTCTGCTACGTTAAATTTACCAAGAAATGGAAACTTTAGAACTGTCACAAAATGTGGGCAAAATAAATTTTAGTACTGTATGATTTTAAAAGAGAATGTTGAGGTTTAGTTTCTTATCATCATGTGTTTGCTGCCTATTGTAGGGAAAGGCTGAACCACTGAGTGGTATTGAAATGGAAAATGTTGTGAATTAAAAAGTCCAGGGGTCTCATTTATAAAGGATTGCATGGAAACCATACTAAAAGTGAAMGTACGGCCAAAAGGCGGAAATGGCGTACGCCAAAAAAAATTCAGATTTATAAAACCGTACGTACGCACGTTTCTGCGCATCTTTCGTTTGTAAATCACAGCCGCACGTCAGAGTTTGCGCACGAGGTCCCGCCTCAGGTTTTACCCTCTACATGCCCACATTCAACCATAAACAGTCAATGTAAAGTACCTCATGAATGGTAAGATGTATTTAAATCAGTCAGCTGATCAATGCCAACAAAAGTGATTGGTTCAGACACGCTGCTTCATGCGTCTGGAGGATGACAGATGCTGACTGACAGCTGCTCATGTGGACAGAATGTCTGTAATTGACAGATTTTCCCTCATTTTGCTCTAGAGTAATCTAACGATTTTTATAAAAAATAAAAATAAAAAACCTCAGCTTCAAATCAATTTCCCACCAGAGCCTGCACGATAAAAAAATAAAAATTAAGTTATATAAGTCAGATAAAATTAGAAATAAGTCCACTACTCTTCTCCTCGTCCTCTCCCCCTCCTGCCTGCTCTGTTATCCGCGGCAGACACCCCCCTCCGCGTGCACACACGCGCACGCATGCATCCCCCCCCCCGCGTGACAAACACGGACTTTAAACGTGAAGGTTTATTATTCACACTGGTGAGGTGAGCACGCCCTGCGCGTGTATCCAAAGCTTTTGCTGTCCTGCTGTTCTTATCAGGGAGGGGTCTGTGTGGGTCGGGGTCGTCTGAGGAGGAAGCAGATGAATGGAGTTGCGCACGGGAACTTTTATTTAAGTCTGATTCTGAAGGTAAATTAAATCTCTGACAGWGATCATTACACAGTGTGGCTCTAATTCTTCACTTCACCATCTGTGTCGCAGTTTCACGTCTCCAAAATGAGCGTACGCATGGGTCAGAGCTGGCGTGAGGCACCGCACATTTTCACGTCAAGTTTGGATTTTATAAATCACAACCTTAGCGTAAAAAGTGGCGTACGCAAGTTTCTGGGCTCAAATTGTGCGTACGCAAGTTTTATAAATCCGACCCCAGGTCTTCACCTTCTTATTAGTATATTTTCAGAATATTTTATTATGTTTTTCCTGTCTTTCTCAGATCGGTGGTCTATCAGCAAAACTCTAAAGAGTCAGCCACACTGCAGCCTTTCTTTACCCTGCAGCTTGACATTCAGTCTGAGAAGATCCGCACAGTGCAGGAAGCTCTCGAAACGTTGGTGGCCCGAGAGTCTGTCCTCGGCTACACTTCTAAAACCAAGCAAGAGGTAAATGAAAACGGCCCTCCGAGCTACAGATATGACCACATTTTTCTGTGCATGTTTGAACTGCTCATTAAAGGGAAGAAAAATCTAATCTTAAGAGCTCAAATGGTTGCAGCAACATCAGAATTGCACAATGGTTCCCCTTCAAAAAATTTCCTGACTTTTCTTTAACAGTTATCATTTGGATTGTTTTGGAACCTCAGCACAGACATCCAAACTGTTGAGTAAAAATGGAACTCTGTGTGAAACCAGTGCAGTCTTTGAACGTTTAGCTGAAACAACTGGTACAATGAACATCTGTATCACAGCTGTACTATAGACCTTTTTTATGTAACGGGTTGTTACAAAAGATAAAATGCCTTTGTGATTCTGGAAACAAATAACTGTAGTCCACAACTTGTCTCTAAGCTTTTATACCCACAAAATCCAGAATGTTTAGTGCTTTGTGTCTTTTGAATGTCTCCACAAGCACTTATAGGTCTAACAAAATGTTGCTACTTGTCCTGTACTTTGTTCTTTTCTGTTTAAAGAATTTTATTGGCTTTCATCTTGAATCTGCTGTTCCAAATCAATGTTTAAGGCATTTTTAAAGTCTTAACTCTTAGTACTGTTAGTGTTCAGTGCATCTGTCCTCATGCTCTTTCATCTTTATGCATTTGCTTTCAGATTGAGATCAGTCGAAAGGTAACTCTGGAAGAGCTGCCACCAGTGCTGGTGCTCCATCTCAAGAGATTTGTTTTTGAAAAGACTGGAGGTTGCCAGAAATTGACAAAGAACATTGATTACCCTGTTGACTTGGAAATCAGCAAAGGTATGCATGAGCCCACACTCTGCTGAATCTCACCCATTGATGTTGTTTAAAACATTTTAATAGACTGATGACAACACACTTCTTTCAGACCTCTTGTCCTCTGGAGTGCGAAGCAAGGTTTTGAAAGGCCAAAGAACTTACAGGCTCTTTGCAGGTGTGTTTTTATATATTAAAAAAAAAGTCCATATCACATTTACTACAAAGTAGTTGATCCTTTCCTTCCATTTTAAATCAGAGTAAATGTGGAAGTTATGGACAGTTTATCATAATTCAGTTCCTTTAAAACCCAAATGCTAAGCAATCGATGCTTAAATATTTTCCACATTTCTGGCTTTTAATTTTCCCCTCTCGTTTTCACCAGTTGTTTATCACCACGGAAACAGCGCAACAGGCGGACATTACACCACTGATGTCTTCCACATTGGTCTTAACGGCTGGTTGCGTATTGACGACCAGACAGTGAAGGTCATCAACCAGTACCAGGTGGTGAAGCAGACTGCCGAGCGCACCGCCTACCTGCTGTATTACCGCCGCGTCGACCTGCTGTAGACACGCACACACACACACACACGCACACACACACGAGAATATCTGAACATATTCACAAACATGCACTCACACTTAACAGACAAGTCAAAGTGCACTTGTTGACAAAGTGCATCTACATCTAACACAAACACACAGCAAACTAATAAACAGGAACACTGCCCAACTTGTTCTTTTGCAAGATTTTCCTATTCTTCCCTCCCGTCTCCGCTTTCCTGAAAACCAGCTTTTCCAACGCCTTTTTTCCTCGTCACCGTTTTTTATTTTCAGAAGAAGAGAAGCAAGCTGCATTCACAAAGTTTTTTTCCTGTGACTGCTGTCTCCTTTGCGTCACTGCATTTTTTTTCCTTTTATGTTTTTGTTTTTAAGCAGCGAGGAAGGACTGTTGATTTGACAAAGGTGAGGTTGGGGTTACAGGTTTGAACCTCAGACTGAGTCTGCCACTTGGCTCTGATGGCCATCAGTGAACTCACACAGGTGGAACTACTACAGACTGAAAGTGGACAGCAGGGGGCTTTTTCCTGTTCAAACTCCTTATTTTTTGGAAATGACCCAGATATATCAGTGTTTGCCTTTTTATTAAAGGAGAACTGTCATACCAGTGAATTTGCAGCAGTTTGAAAGCCTATCGTTTGCCCATGTGCATTGGAAAGGCCCAGCACCAGCAGTATCATGGGTCTCTTCCCTCAAGACCAGATTGTTTTTCTCTGCCACCAACTCCTCCTCCTTCTACATGTCCTCACTTTTATGATGCTTTAAAGGTACAACTTGAGCCATCAAAAGCAAAAAGCAAACACGAGGCTATAAAATGTGAACCTAACAGCTTCCTTGTTTTGAAAGATTCTTCTTATGGTATTTGGGTTTAGATTTAGACTATTGTGAATATAAAAATATAATGCGCTTTAGAATTTAATTACAGATAAGCTTCTGTGCACAAAATGACAGGCAAATACGTTTTTCAAATATCTAGATCATAAAATTTTAAAACGAGCAAAAAATGTGTTTCTTGCTGACTTGAACATCTGTGTGTTTCCTGGAAAACTCAGTTTTTAATCCCAATTTTTGCTTTAGAAAAACGGCAACCGATCAAGAAAATTTTAAATGCAAAACCTGCTCTTGTTAACTTTGTAAATTTCTTTCTTCATCCATTCATGTTTTTTCCCTTTGTTTTTTTTTTTTTTTTTGGCTTGTCTCAAGTGTCCACCTGTGTATTGGTGGTTTGGGGTGTATTCAGTCACACCATCCTACCCCTTTACATAAAAGAAAGCAAAAGCTTTCTTCTGCTCAGTTTGACATTTTTCCACTCAAAATACGACACTCATCCCGATCACATGGAAAGTGCAGATTAAATATATGAAGATTTAAGGTTTCTCTATGTATTCTTAATTTGGTGTTGCGATAAACAAAAGATTGGGGGACGTCTGGACTACATCAGTTCTCAGCTCTCCAGATAGACCCGGGACATGCGCACAAAAGGAGATGGTATTTGCTTTTCTTTATTTTATTTCTTTTGATTGATTGTGATCATTTTTGTTTGTGTTAATGAAAGTTTTGTTTTATTTTTTTCTTTTTGTCAATCACTTATTAGATGTCCCTCTGCTTTTGCTCCATTCAGAAAAATGTGCTTGCAATGGAATTGAATTTGAAAAAAAAAAAAAAATAAAACAGGCTAAAGCACAACTACAAAATAAACTAAATAGTTCTTTGCTTGATATTTATTTGCCTTTTTGTCTATTTGTTTTTTTGATCATTTCCATGTTTACTTCAATCCTGTTTCTTTCGAATCGTCAGTATCACCATCAGTGTTAAAACAGCTCCAACTTTTCTCAACAATTTGAACATTTTCATTCGAGTCTCCTGTGGACATGGTTTTTGCTCATGTCATTTCATTCAGTAGAACAAGTTACACAAGTGAGACTGGTTCAACGTTTTCCAGTGAAATGGTGCAGCATAATGTAAATTTTCAGATTTTTTTTTTATATCAATGTTGAAGTCAAATACCATCTGAAAGCTTACTCTAGTTAAAACAAATTGTCTATTAGATTAAAATCATTTCTATATTTTAGCATAGATGTGATGCATAGTGTCATTGAACTTGTGGGTTTTAAAGTCAGAAACCTTTTTCAGGTAAACCAAAGTACATTATCACATCAGCCCTACTGCCTTTTCATAGAGTTAATGTTCCAACCTTATTTTGCCTTGTCCATTCATTGCGCAAAGGAAATGGCATGCTCTGTAAACCACTGGTTCAGCATAACTTCCACAAAATTCAGTTGTGATGCTGGCTTTTATTTCTGCAAAAAAAAATGACATTGTTGATTGCATACTTTATTTCACTTTTCAAAGAATGTTTCTAAGATGGGAATTGAAAAAGGACACCTTGAGTTTTCTGTTTGGTTTCCACTTGGTGTCTTGTTGGCTGGTCAGGAAACATGCAGATGAAAAGCTTCGATAATGTTTTCAGTGTGTGCTCCGAGCACTTATTGTCTGCTGGGTACTGTTGGGATATTGACCTTGAAACAGAAAAAAAAATCTATTGTCTTTAATTTCAAGCCTTCAGCATTCTGTTTTGTTTATTGTTTAAATAAAGGTTTGTGCACAAATCAGTTTGCTAATCAAGTGTAATCTGAAGAGTACCTGGCTTTCTTATGATAGTCAATTCTGAAAAACTTTGCAACCTCCAGACCTTGGACTGGCCTACACAACAATGTGCACAATAAACCAAAATAATCTAGATTCTTGGTCTTCTGCATATTTTTAATTGCTCCCGTCTTACTGTATTTCTTCATGTGTGTTTGTCATGTTATTCCTCCTCCTGAGGTCTAACTGGCTGTTTCAGTGCCCACAGTATTTGTTGGGGTTATGGCAGAGCTTCGCCTTGGTTTAATGGGAAGCAGACCCATTGAAAAATTTGCCATGTAAGATTTTTCTGTCCTTCAGCCTTCCATGCTATTTATTCCTCACTATAGCTTTCCCCATTCTTTGAAAATGTATCTCGGAAACTTGCAATCATCTGTATCCTTTTGTGTTTTTAATGTCAGAAGGCAGCCGTGTCTTGTTTTATGGGCATGTATCCTGTGGAAGAAAATTGCATGTTTGATTCCTGCCGATACCCCACCAGTCTTTAAAGCCATGCCTTTAGGTTGATGTTGGACACTTCCTTACATGCCTGTTTAATGCTCTAAGTGGTTTGTTAAAACTAGGACCTTTAGTTGAGATTTTTGACGTGGCATTTTAAACAAAGCAAATGCCTTTTGGAATACTTTTGATTGTGCTGTTCAAATAGTTACAGCTTCAAAGCAGGGTTCCTGCTGATCCTTATGTCTTAAAAGGCCTTGAATTCATCAATCCAAAAATAAGGCCTTAATTAGCCTTAAAAGGTCTTAAATCAATCTTCAGAGGTCTTAAAATGTTAACACATTGTAAGTAGGATGACTGTAATTCATATGAAAAAATAAAATAATTGGTAACATTTATTTTTGAAATATTCCCATTCAGATGTTCTCTTTTGACATCACTTCCTGTTATTTCACATGCAAATATCTCAACAACTGTCCATCTGAGCAATGTGAAATTTGTTTTCTAATATGTTAATAATGTTGTCTTTCCAAAAATACATTCATATTTCTTACAAAAATTTGATGTCACATACACTTTAAGGTTTCATCTACAGCAAGCTGGGGTTGAGACCCCACTGTGGGTCCTAAAACTCCAAATTTTGGGTTGTTAGATGATTTCCAGCAATTAAATTACATTTAAAACTGACTGCTAAGAATGTTCTTTTGCTATATTTGACAAAATAGCAGTTAGATATTGCTAATAGACCAATTGTTTTTACCCATATTTGAATAATTCAACCAAAAATACTTTTATTCATGAGTTTCTGCCACAGTTTTAATTGTTTTGTCATTTGTGTTTATTGTGAAATTGGTCTTAAAATTGATTTCACTTGGCATTAAAAAGTCTTAAAATGTCTTAAATTTTTAACTTGCCGCCTTAAACTGTAGGAACCCTGCAAATTCTTCTACAATTAGGTTTCAGTTTAAGGTGACAAAATCAAACCATAAGCAATGAACATAGAATATTTAGCATAATATTTAACTTTTAATTAACTAATATTATTTTCTTGTTGAGCATACAAGCCTTGTAAAACTGTCTTCAGGTTTTCCTACCTGTACAGGTAGGAAATCACAGGTGTGTGATCTGTAATCAAGAAATCTGTAAAACCTCAAGCTGCAGGTTCTCCACACCTGTTCCRTATTCCCACTGGTTTTTATAATCAACTTTTACAACATGTTTTCTCCATGTGTTCACCTAAAGACCCCTCATGCCATTTGTGTCTTGTTCACAAGTTTCATTTGCAGTTTTTAAGWAAATGGGTGATAAGAAAAACAATTTTACGATGTATTGAGTGTAGAAGTTCATTTTAAAAACGTGTTTCTTTTACGATTATAGATTTAAAAGTACATTGTTTGATATGACCTGCATTGAAATATACTACTGGTAATTATATTTTTTAGAGAAAAACTTCAAGAATTAATCAGACAATTGTTGACTGTCAGAACTCTTTCAAACTGAAAATGCACATTTAAGGGTTGTTTAGCCACCGGTAGATTTACGGAAAAACAAATAGCTAAATATACCTTAAAGCAGAGGGCCAAAATGAAAATCTGATGGCTGTGGGCCAAATGCAGTTATATAATACATAAAATACAAATACTTCTTAAATAAAGTCCTTTTATTTAGCAGCCAGTGCGGTGGCCCACGTTTTTAACTGCACTACAACCCCTTATAGTCATTGAGCCAATGAATGGAATGAATTTAAGTGGAAATGCTTTTTCTCCATAGGACAACAGGTTACAACCCAGTAACCAAGTCAACTGCTGGTGGGCCAGTTTTGCCCCGCAGGTCCCACTTTGGGCACCAGAAAAAGCTTCACGGATGTCTTAACTCTTCCAAGCTGTCAGTGATATGATTTTAAAAGTTACCTCAAAATTTGGGGAAAAACATTCCTACAAACAATGCAGCGCAATCATTAATTTGAAGCGAAGACCTGAATRACTTTTGGAAAACAAAACCGGGCCACCAGCATCTCCATCACTTGTCCTTGTCTCTACAGAACATCAATGCACTCTAGCGTTTCTGCGTAATATTCAAGGACAGCTGAGCCAWAGTGAGCTAAACTTCCTTCATATTTTCTTTGAGTTCAGAGAATGAATGGCAGAGGCCCCATGGAAGGGAAGTAAGTCGRTTTTCATCCTGCCTGGCCCAGCCACTGTAAATATCTGAGTTGGTTTWAAAAAAAAGGAACATGGTAGAGAAAAAATGTAAACTATTTGGGTCACTGCACAGTCCTACAAAACATGGGTCATGTCCTTTATACTCTCCCCAATCTAATGAAGAGCTCTGTCATGAAATGGAAAGTAAAGTGGAACTGGTTAATTTTTGGTTCCTTGCAAAATATCTTCCTTTTCCATTAGCTATCCATCAGCTGTGTCTAAGTGAAAAGATTTTGAAAAACTGGTCTATTAAAAATGTGAAATGCAGTCAAACTTTTTAATTTAGACTTAATCCTCCCWACACCTCTGTTCATTGGATACTCTGACCCCTTTACGAATTTTAGTTGCAGTTAAATATACATGACAGCCTAATTCTAAAACATATATATGTGATATATTAATCACAAAGCTRATAAATGTCCACTTTTTCTGAAAACTATATAAGTAGTTGTTCCTTGCACAGTTTGAGATCTGTTTCCTTTGACATGTTATTCCAAAGATACATGCCCTCCAGTGACGGGGATCAAACTGCCTGCTACACATTGGTTTGACAACATGATGATTTACATATATTTTTTTTCTTTTTCTCTTCTTCTGACATCAGTTTGCGCACGGCGTGCTGTGTGCCAAGAGCAGGGAGGCTGGTGAGTGGAGAGACAGTCATTTTTTTCTTCCACCCCCCTCTGCTCATCAGGGGTCTCCTTCTCGAGCTATATAAGGCACTGAGTTACACAGGAATCACACAGCTTGTGTGTGTCTCAGGAACATCGCCAAAAAAGCAGCAGCTCCTCCAATAAAGAAATAAAGCAGCTCTCCACTGGAAACTTCACCCGAGCAGCTGAGGAAGAAAAGGTGAGACATTAAGCACATTTAACTGAAAACATTTTAACTTTTTTTTGTCATTTAACAGCAATCCTGTTGATGTTTTTATTCCATTAACAGGATTTTATAGCTGTCTGTAATTCTGGCTGATAATTACATGCTGTCAGTCTGTTTGCAGCCTCCCAGTGAAACATAGTGGGAAAGCAACTGCTGTTTTACTAAATATTAAATCTTATTTGTGAACTTTTATTAAGTACTTTCTTTTAAATCATAAAAGCCACATTTTATCTGAAGGTGTGTTTTTATTATAAAAGAGAAAACAAAAAAATAAAAGCCTGTTTTAAAAAAATTGGCATCAAGATCTAAAAGTATATTAGCCAGGTGCATAAAGCTCTGTTTGGATCAGACAGGAGTCAGTAGTGGCACAGAAGACCCAATAAGGAAATGTGGACATTTCCTCTGTCTGTCACTCTGGTATAAAATGTATGAGAGGCATGAGAAGAGCCCAGACGGAGAAGCTGGTGGAGGCTGAGTGGGAAGACATGGCACAGGGAGAGGAGAAGGGTGTGGTGCCTGGAGCCTGGCACTGCGTGTTGACACAGAGCCGGTGCCAGACCTCGAGCTGCCTTTACAGGCCAGAGGGAAAGGGGTGAATGGATTCAAGGACGGGAGCAACCAGTGCGAGTTAGAGCTTGGTTTATCTGTTTATTTTTGTTCATCTCCGATCACACACTGAACTGCTTCTCTCTCTTTTTTTTTGTRATGAAACTGGGATGTTTGCTTTGAGTTTTAGACCACCTTGCTCACAGGAGAAAAGTCRGATACAGAATAAGATATTGCTTCTCTGTAAGGGATGTGTTTGGAATGAAAAACTACATTCTTTAAGCTCTGACCATTGTGGAGGCTATAAGTAGTTTAATTCATGTTGAATAAGGAAATGCTTGTCAGTGCATTAYCATTTGTATTGCTTTAATAATGGATTGTTACATGGACTGAAAACAATACCAAATAAAATAATRGTAAATGCTACTTTATGCAAGGACTTAAAACAAGTTATCCAGAACTATATCAAATGATGCAGTACTCAAGTTTTTTTTAAATTCATTAGCAATTCTGAAATGAGGGTTTGCACCTATTGTAAACAAAACACTTGGCTGCATTTTGTAAAAACTAATGTGGAAGCTTGAGTCACACGATTGACCTACATTAGGCTAGCCTTATTTTTTAATTTTCCAGAAAAGTGGGTAAAATACTTCTCGTTTTCTAATTTTTTTGCAGTTTAGATTGTTTTAAAGACTTTATTGCATACTTTTCTCAATAAATACGAGGGGAAATATGTATCAATACATCAAAATCATTGAACTTCTCAATCCAAAAGGCTCTTCCATTGATGCTGACCATTTACCTCTTCAGGTCTCACACCAGGTGTTGGTAACAATTTAAGGCAGCAAAAGGAAGAGAGAGTAGAAATATGTATTAATATACTATCCTACCGTGGTAGATAAAAAAAAAATCTGCTTACTAAGATTGTTTCTGTGTTGCTGGAAGCATCCCTGACAAGTTTTGTACATCTGCATGCATTTTTTTTTCAAAACTTTTTTGACTTCTGGCAAAGTCTCATTAAATATTTCTTCTCTTCAGGTTGTTTGAACTCTGAGCGGTCTACTGTAGTCTGACAGAACAACCCAGACAGCCTAAGGTGTCAGAATGACCCACTCTGCTGTGGCTTGGCTCCTCGTCCCTTTCCTCCTCCTGTTCTGTGTCACGGACACGTTTTCCCTCTTCCTGCCCGACTCCAAGGAACTGAGGGAACTGCTGAGCCGCTACGAGCAGGGAGACGACCGGACCGGCGTGAACAGCCCAGCTGGGAACAGGACTCGGCGAGCCATTCTCTGGTCAGACCGCGAAGAGATCCTGCAGCTGCACAACAAGCTGAGAGGCAGCGTTTACCCCGCAGCCTCCGACATGGAGTACATGGTGAGATGGGTGATGTGAAAGGGGACATACCATGCAAAATGCACTTTTTAAAATACGTTTTGTTGTTATTTGGACTCTCTAAGTGTGCAGAAAAGTTKAATTTAGTCTMCTGTTGCTGCGTTAATATCTTTATGTTCTATTTGGGTSATTAACCTGTTCAGYTTTCTCTAYGTTCTGTCATTTTCGGAACTGTTGGATAWGTCTTCCCTTGTTGACATCTTTGAGTGAGTAAAACATTTCTAYGCTGCTATATAGTCGACCCMTCTGTCAAACCAGAATGGACTGCTCTGTGAGCTGGAGGGGGGAGGGGTGTGAAGCGCCTCRTTTGGATTTACAGAGACAGCCTCAAAACGAGTTGATCTGTGACAAACCTCGGAAAAGGAGTGAAAGAGGGGATTGTGGAGTTACAATRACGAGGAATTCTGACCAAAGCGTTGCAGTTTCGCTTTAKATAGACCCAATGTGAATGGTTTAAATGTGAACAAGAAGGATTTTAAAGCATGACATGKCTCCTTTAAAACAAGTTTTACTTCAAACACAGAAGACGTCTGTGTCAGCACTAATGAGGAATGAAACAAGGCCTCTAATTAGGGTTTTACAGTTTTAATTCTGCCCAGAAAACTCCTCAGCTGGAAACATGCAGTCACGAAGGCTGACCTGCTGCCAAGCCTGCTGTGCCAGTCGTTTACAAGCAACACAATAATGCTGACTCTGTCCTACCTGCGAACAGCGCCGCTCTGGAGAACACAGGAG